GGGAGAGGGAGAGGGAGAGGGAGAGGGAGAGGGAGAGGGAGAGGGAGAGAAACGTCAATTGGCCCTCTGCACGGATCAATTGAACTTGCGACTGTGTGTTCCCTGACTGAGAGCTGAACTAGCAGCCCTTCAACCACAAGATAATGCTCAACCAACTGAGACTCTGGCCAGGTGGGCACTCATTAAATAATCACTATTTGTTATAATCCTACTGCAAATACAACAAAGCAATATGACTTAAACCACCAGCTGACTGCAGTTGGGTACAAAGTCTTTGTGTTGTGCCATAGATTTCTGAACTTGATCTTATCCTGCTCCAGGTTATTGTAATTTTGTAATTACTCATTAAGCTTTTATCGACTAGTTTAGCATCCACTAATGGTTCTTGTCAGGATTAATTATTAATATGGCAGTGAATTTCTAATGCCATTGTTCCTTCTATATTTATTAGTTGGGATTTTACTGTTAGGAAGAGTATTCTCTTCTCCATTACTTCTTTATATCAGTTTATTTATATTTTTATTTATACTATGAATACTACATATAGTATAAGTAAAAATTAAAATATAAACATAATATATAAGAATATAAACAATATTTATATAAATTGGTATAAATGTATATTGTATTCAGATTTAATATATATTTACTTATATTAATAGATGCTTATTTTATTCAATGGGTTACAATTCATTACTATCATTAGTGGTTTTGATTCTTGAATTGTCCCAGATTTGGTCAGTGAAAGTTCATTTGAGGTGGTTCTTTGTTCTTTAGACATAGTCCCATCATTCTTTGAGCATATCTTTAGTTTCTGGGACTATAAAATGTTTCAGGCTTATCTTGTCCTTCCTCAGCCCTTGTCCTGAAAGCAGTCATTTCTCCAAAGCCCTGATTTCTTTAAGTGGAGAATGGTATTTGAACCAAGGTGTGGGCACTAGTTGTGCTCATTGCTACTGGGGTGTCATTGCTTCTAGGCCTTGAAAGGGACAGAGTTAGGAAATACATGCATGTATACATACATATCCTATATCTATCTATCTATCTATCTATCTATCTATCTATCTATCTATCATCTATCTATCTATCTATCTATCTATCTATCTATCTATCTATCTATCTATCAATCATCTATCATCATCTATCATCTATCTACCTATCTACCCATCCATCTATATTA